CTTTAGTAATCTCTCCTCGGTGGTTCTGGTAAATGCTAAACGTTGAACTGAACGTGTCAGATTCCTGCAAAATTTAGCTTTGGCAGCACCATCGAATTGGGGACGCCGAAACCTGGGCCGTGAGCACTCTCATTTCCTCTCTGATACTACTAAATTCTTCCAAATTTTTCACTTGCCAAATAAATGAATTAAAAATCGTCAAATTTCGAAACTACCGATTTTGTACCCTACATTCAAAATCCTTTACTATTAACTGGATTCTTGGTCTCAAGCAAGATAAACTGGATCAGTTCGGTGTGTTAGGTTAGGTCAGATGCCGCATGGTGGCAAGATGGCGGGCTGACAATGCATCTTCAGGCGAGGGTTTGGAAAATCCTGTTTAAATCCGCGGGTGATTTAGTTGTCGGTGCCGGGAAGCTTTTCCCACTTAATTCCGAGCTGCGAGAGGGTTGCCTTCGAGCTACCCGGACTAATAGCGAGGGTTAAAAACTACCTAACAGCCATTACTCCGCCATTAATTACGTTCCGGCGGGGATGGACCGCGTAAACACGTTTCTTCGAATTCAGAAACGAAGTTTTGCAGAAGTAAAGCTTTTAACGGAATCCAATTATGGTACAAAGCTTCCTTAGTACCTGAGAGCACTACGTTTTTGTTAACATTTATTGTATTTATCTTTGGTTTTCATAATTTTATTCAGATTCTTATAGATTTTGATTTTTCACAGATTTATTTCGTAAGCTAAAAATTGTGGCAAAACTCAGTGGTATTCACTAAACATCTGGTAATGCCTCTGATTTTTTTCAGAATTTTCGGCAGACCATAGGAACGGAGAGATAAAATATAAACTATTGAGATACTCGTATAGTCATAAAGTTCCTCAATTATTTTCTTTTAATTCAGTTGGAAATAATGCAATTCGCTCTATCTGTGCCATCAATTAGTCGAATAATGATGATCATGAAATGTGTGTCAGCAGTGCCCGGTCTTCTAATGTTTAATTTAATTGATTTAAATTATAAGCAACGTGTGTTCAGACTCTTGTGTATTTTCCTTGAATCGCAAATATATGTATATTATAACGTTTTCACCGTTCATAGTTGTCAATCGTGAACGCTTCTTAAGTTCAGACTAAAATCAAGCTGTAAAAAATGTCAAATTAAGGATTTATGGAAATTAAGGAAAGGGAGATATATCACTCACATAGGCAAAGATGCAGAACCGCGGTGAGGAGGGCTGCCAGTTTCCGTGCTGCCATGGGAGTCAACCACTCCTGTCTACTACTTGTCTTGATCTGAAATCAATAAAAAAAGTAGCAATTTCTAAATTGAATTCTGTATTTCATATATTGATGGCAGTATTAAATTTTAAACAATTGTAAAGCAATTAAAAGCTGGTTGAAAAATTAGCCAATCACTGTTTTAGAAACGTCTCGTTCTCAGTTACGAGATACCATCAAAAAAAACATCGTCGTTTAAAAAAATACATTGATCTTTAAATGGCTGTTTGTGCTTTCTAAATAGAAGGGTCACTGAGCACCGTTTTGGAACGTGCTCGGTCTCATATACATTATATCAATATAAAAATGTTGGATTGTCTACTAAAAAATCGTGGTGACCTTGATTGTAATTCCGAAACCTCCATGCTCCGAAATGGCTGAAATATTGGAAATAAATTCTTTTTTGATAAAAGTTGTGATTGCGAGAAGGATATTTGGTGACTGGAAAAAGAATTTTTAGTGTCAGTGCCTATGTTACCGTCACTACCACGGGAATATGCAATACACCTTTGAAAACTAGTTAGAGAATCAGCTGTTTTCGGTTATGAGAAGAGTAACTCTGATAGCGGCATTGGATTGTTAAGAGAAATAGAGGTAATTCCGAAAGATAGATGGTTGAAGAAGCATAAAAAGAGTATGATTTATATTGAGAGCAGAGGATCTTTGAGCTATTTTCGGGGATACGAATCAGGGAAATATGACTATAGCACTTCGGTCGCGCATAATACATGGGAATTATTACTTTTATTATTTAACTAAGGTGAATCTCTCTATGCACTACAACATCCCATAAATATATTTGTGTTCAATATTTTCCAACTGAATTCTTCGAAGAGTACTAATTTTAGTATGAAGGAAAAGAAACTTGTGTTATAAATAAAAATGTGTCACAGCCTGGGAATTTGAACTTACGTCGAAAGATTCACCCTAACTTATTTTACTATTATACTTTTGTACTACACATTTATTGTTTTTACAAAAATTCTAAGTTTTATGTAAAAATTTCCACTGATATTTTTAAGAGCAAGGTACAGCTAGCAACAATGAAACTGAGCTAATTCGGGCATGTGTTAGTTTCCCCTAGGGGAACGAAATTTAAAACAAGTAATAAGTCTACATCTTATTTTTCAATGCTCAATCTGGCGTCCATACTGTTCGAGTTTAACACAATTTTGACGCGTCAAAATAAAAAGAATATTAATATAGGTGGTCGTAATGTACGTAGATTAAAGTTGCTTTTATTTTGATGCGTCAAAATTATGTTGAAATCCAACATTATCGATGCCAGATCGAGCATCGAAAAAACTAGACGTATAATTACTCGTGATGAATTTTGTCCTCCTAGGGAAAACTAACACAAGCCTGAGGTGGCTCAGTTTCATTGTTAGCTATAGAAGCTATTTCTAAAATTTTAGCCAATTCGAAACATGGGGTTTTTCGGAAATTTAGCCCCCTCTCTGGCCCTTAACCGCATTCCTATTAAAAATAACTCGTTTTCACCATGACCTTCAACAGGCCTGTATGGAACTGTTGTGTTACAATCTATATTTTTATCACACGAGTATTTGTTACTCGCGTTGCGACGTCTTCGAAACAGTACCAAAACGTGTCTCTAGTACGAACCGTTCTTGAGATACGAGTTCTCAAAATCAACGCGCCCGGATACCCTCCATAGTGGCCTATTCCCATTGCGATTTCCGACTGCCGGAATCCGGCTCAGAGTCGGCGAGCGGAATTTTGGCGCCCAGCCCCTAAAAAACGGGGAAGCAGTACCGTAGTGCAAGCTGCAAGGTATATGGGGAATAGCGTGTAAGAAAAAATATTGCTGGGTATCGTTCAGGGGGCCCTGCTGGGTCCGAAAACGGCGAACCGAGAGTGGGGCAAAAATCCGGCAGCGGAAAAGGAAAGAGTGGGGAAGAAATCCGACAGCGGAAAACTTCGAGAGCGACTGAAAAGTTAATCGTCAATCGAAGTTAATACAATGGGGCGGGATTAACCATGGAACCATTTGCCGTTTTGAAGGAATGAAACCATTATGTGGTGATTGGTAGAACGATGTAAACATTTATCATCGCTTGTCATTCGTTATTTTGTCATAATGAAAGTGAACATTTCACGCTTCGACAACAATTTCGGACGGCGTACAATTACAAGACGTATAGAAAATATTATACATTCCTTAGGGAAAACATGTACATTGTACAAAACGTACGACGCTCTATCATGTACCCTAAGTATATCATAAAAATATTTATATTCAATGAAGACAGTAATGAGCATCCAACTACTTTCACTACACCACTAAACTGTTTATGTTGGAAATAATGTATTGAAAAGAATATAAACTATTCAGTGATTTCATCATCCATCAATTATCAACAATCTATCCCATCCATTCCACGTGAATAACGATTAAGTGTATTAATTGTTATTCATAATAACGAACGCACAACAATTTCCTTGCATTGTTATTAATGTAGTTTGTTATTCGTCATTTTCTTAAAACGCTTCGTACTGAGTGGAGCGCTTGTTCAAACGCGTGAAAAGTCGGCCGCCTGACTCCGAGCCAGCGCTCCCGAAACGGAGTCCGCCTCAACCGAACGCTCTGAGTGGCCCGTGTTTTTCGTTAATAAATCGGTAACCATGCCCCATTTCGTATTTTACCAAAGGAAATTGTTGATCACAATGCTCCTCCCCATCTGCCATTTTCGGCTCTAACCATCTTTCCGGAACACCCTGTATTTTAGAGCGCCTTACGCATTTGCTTAAATCCCTGTTTCCTGTACAAGACAGGGACTAGAAACATGGGATAGACAGGAATAGGAAATGCTTAAGACGATCTTAAGATTAAGCGACATCTCTGAATACCGGTCAAAGTATTGAATTTTGAATTTATTCCCTATATTTCGTACCTTCAACCTTCATTCTACCGACACCGATGTCATATATAAAACGTAATACCCCACTTCTTCCCTTAGCGGAACGTGAAAGTCGGCGAGGGGTGACCGAGGCACGTCCGGCTTAAAACGCAACCCTCGAAATTCCATTTACTTGTACCGCCCCCGGCCAAAATCGTGCCCACCAATCTACTAGCCTCCTCACTCCCCAAGCGGAAGATTCTATTGAAAAATGGCGCGATTTACCAGATTTTGTCATAAATCAATCCGCGGTTCTCTCCTACGTTTCACCGTCCCCATTTGTCTTAGCAGACCCTGCCCCATTGAGATTCCGCTTGTTCTGGAAGAGTCCACGCACTCTCGATTGGCTTCGGGAGGAGGGGAGAGGTGGTGATCAATGAAGTCGTGAACGGTAACAGGTCAATGGAAACGGTCCTCTCGGTACTCAATATTTTATTCAAGGGCAATCGAAACAGTTATCAATTTCAAACTCTGTAAAGTTATTTTTGCATGTATCACCCCTCTCCATGATATTTTTTCATCGAAAAATATTCAGTCGGAACGGAGATTTACGGCGGAGGCATTTCTTGAGCCCAAAATTTCGTCGAAGACCCCGTAAGATTTTTCTTACGGTATGATTATGTTACGGTAATGTGAACAGACCATAATATGATGGGAACGAGGAGACGTACGAGGATATTCGCCGATGCCGATACAAAGAGCATCATCCCGACCGCATCGCGCATCGTTTAGTCTATGGACCACGCGGACAGTAAATGTGCAGTGAAGTTCATTTCGTGAACGACAAACAATCGGCTCCTTTCGGAGATGTTTAATGTTAGAGTGTAAGAGCAACAAGGTAAGTGTCTGAAAATTTTTAAGTCAAAAGTGACGGTGATAGTGTAGTGAAACGTCATTGCGGAATTCAATTCCTGGACCGAAGATCAGATGTGGCCGACCATTTGTTCTACCTGCGAGTGGCAAGAATTGGCAGGATGACACACTGACGTTTGACCCATCTTCCTCGAAGCGGGTGCGTTTGCGGATGAATGGGTAAGTCCAATCTGTACTGTTTTTGCAATTCTTTTAAATTCAATGTTTGCTGCGACTTGTTACTTTCTTATTTATCTTACTAAATACCTCTGTTACCCATCGACTTGAATAACGATTAAGTGTATTAATTGTTATTCATAATAAAGAACGAACGATTTCCTTGCATTGTCATTTATGTAGTTTATTATTCGTTATTTTTTTAAAACGCTTCGTACTGAGCGGAGCGTTCGTTCATGCGTGAAAGATCGAGGCGTCCGGATCCGAGCCAACGCTCCTGAGCCGGAGCTCGCGCCAACCGAGCACCCTTATTGGTCCGCGTTTTTCGTTAATAACTCGGTAACCAAGCCCCATTTTGCATTTTATCAAAGGAAATTGTTGGTCAGAATGATCCTCCCAGTCTGCCATTTTTGGCCCTAATACCCTGTGTAGTCGAAGGGGGAGACAGTTTCTATATGTATAAAGGACCATTCCCACTTGTGCCGTACCGGATGCCTGCTGTGGTACGACACAAGAAAAACAGGGCCGAAATGGAAATTGCGAGCTATGAGCAAAAGCGAAAGTCGAATGTCGACACCGTACGACAGTTCCTGCTTGGAGTCTGCGCACTTGACCACTCACTCTGCAGAAGTCAGTGGGCTTCTTTGAGGCACCCAGCTTTTACATGCTTTTCCCCATGCTTCGCGATTTCCACCTCGGCCCTGCTTTTCTTTTGTCGTACCACAGTAGGCATTCGGTACGGCACAAGTGGGAATGGTTCTTAAGATGGACGGTGAAGGTAGACTGAAGTCAGTAAGAACTAACTACAGGAAATCAACAAAAAATTTAATACTTCACTTTATTTTCTCAACTTCCAACGAAAAGAAAATTAGAAAAAATTACTAGATGTTCGAACTAAGATAATACGCCGCCATACATAACCAAAAACTGCTGAGCACAGCATAACAATATATTGGAATTCAATACGAGAATAAAACGTGTAAAAGAATTCAATAGGAGACGAGGAATAGGACATGGGGCGCGAAAATTGAATGCGAGGGGTGGGGGAGAACGCGTGATAGGT